GCAGAGCCTGAAGGAGGAAATAGAGAGGATGTGGAAAGTCAAGGCCAAAGTGGTCCCAGTGGTGGTAGGAGAACTTGGGGCTGTGATTCCTAAGCTGGGAGAGGGGCTCCAGCAGATCCCAGGGACAACACCAGAGCTCTCTGTGCAGACCAGTGCAGGGCTAGGAACAGGTCAGATCCTGCACAGAACCCTCAAACTGCCCGGCCTCTTGTAGAGGACCCGAGATTGAGGAAGACACAGACCATCCAGAGGGGTGAGAGGGGAATGTTTTATATATATATATATATATATATGTGTGTGTGTGTGTGTGTTTGTGTAAGAGACAGAAAACGAGAGAGATCAAAACAAGACATAGTTGTAATGCATTTCTATTGACAATCAAAACACATTTTCATCTTTACCTGAGATTCATTTCTTTTATGTTAAACAGAATGCTAAAAACAACCATTCCTTTGTATCTGCTAGTAATATAAACACAACCCTTTAAAAAATGGATTCAAAAGAACTGATGGGATGTATGATTTCAGAGATTCTCCTATAATGAGACTCCTCAACTAAAGGAATAGACGTGATTCTCCTGTTTATTATTTTCTCTCAAAAGAAGGCCTTTGTGGTATCTCATATTATATTCCCTGCACATCCAGACTGTAAAAGGCATCAAATGAATTCCCAATTTCTGTTTATTGAGACTAGTATTGGACATATACAAGTGTGTGCATACATAGCTTGCCAGAATTACTTTGGTAAACGCAACTTTTCTTCCTGAACACAAGAAGAAAGTTCAGTTAATTCTGGTACCATCTCATCCTAGAAGCTGCCTAAATGGTACATTACCTAGAGAACTTATTCAGAGATAAGAGAATGGCTGCTCCATTGTCAGAACATCAACCAGATTTAAAGGCCCTGCTTAAGCTGGTTTGGGACTCATGGCCAAAGAGTAGTTAGGTAGGTGGGTGAATGGATGGATGGATGGATAGGGGTGTGTGTGTGTGTGTGTGTGTGTGTGAGAGAGAGAGAGAGAGAGAGAGAGAGATGTCGCTTGAATTAAACAGAGCTTAAAAGGAAGAAAGTGAAATATTCATCGGAGGAAAAGCAATATTTTAGCTTTAGTTATGTTTGGAATAGTTATCTCTCTTATTATTCTGTTCTGCCGGAGAAGGATCCATCTTCAGTTATCTCAACAAGAAAGATATAAGAGGCACTTAAAACGATGTGTGCCATTAACAGTAGAAAGCCTAGAATTCCTTAAGATGATTAAGAGATCTGAAGTCTGAAAATAAGCTATATAGTTTCAGGATTCATTTTGTCTGCAAGTCTAATGGTTCCCATGTGAGTAATACTGGAGCGTGAAAAGCTGTCATTTAGCTGACAGGTGGTCCACTGTGGCGGAGGAATGGCATGGGGGAAGCCATCCTGCTTTACAACTACTCCATTGCGCTTGATTTTGGTGGCCTGAGAAAGGAGGATAAACCTTCCGAATGTTATTAGCCAGGAGAGTTGAATGTGTTTTCCATGTTCATACCCAGATGTTGGAAATGCACAATGGAAGAAAACCCTCAAGCTTCATGCCCTGGTGGTGACTGCACAGAAGCATTTGCCTCTCCCCTCCCTTCCACCCCCTGCCCCAGTGCTGGCTTGAGAGCAAAACGTTAGAAGGGGGAGATTTAATGTTTGACTTCTCCTTTCCTTAAAACTCTGGGCCATTGTGCAGCCTTCTTCTTTGTCCCCATATATTTCAGGTCCTTAACACAGAGGGAAAGACTGGGAAGACTCACCATGTAGCATCTTTAAATCCTGCAGACCGTGGCATTTTTTCATCTCGAAATCCCATGGCTTCTGGAAGGACAGTGATCACTAAAGCAACCATTTTAGCTAAGGGAAGATATCATGAGGCTGTTCTGCCCTTGGATAAGGCTATTATAGGCTGATTGGAGAACGTGGAGGGGCAATATATGTTAGCCAAGCTCAAAAAAGTCTGGGCCAAGTACCTCAGTCTTGGGAACTTGCAGTATAAGGAGATCTGCTTCACCCATATAGGATTCTTTAGTGTCCCTACCAAACCAAACCAATAATAAAAACAACTAGTAAACAAAGTATTTTGAGCAGCCAGGAATATCTCAAAAATTTAGACATTTTTCATGAATCTGGGTGGGCAATGCAGGAGTATGTGGTTGCCCCAACCCTGTTTTGTGGCCTCAGCAGCATCTCCAGCATCTGCCAAAATTTAGCTCAAACTGATTTTTCAGGATCACTGAAAAAAAAAAAAAAGCAAATTGGACATGTTGCACATACTAAGTCTCTGCAAACCAACCCATAAAAAAAAAAAGGGTGGGTGGGTGGGTGGGTGGGT